CAAAAAAAAAAAAAAAAAAAAAAAGGAAAAGAAAAATAATATTTATTAATTTTATTTTCCAAAACTCACGCTCTCTCTTTCTCTCTCTATCTCTCTCTCATCTCAAAAATGGAACCCAATGAAAACCAGCTCAGCTCCTACTTCCACCACCAACACCACCATCAGAGTCCCACCACATCGCCGACCAATGGCCTATTACCCCCTACCCACCACCTCTCCTCCTCCGACGCCGGCCCCCACGTCGTTTACCCTCACTCCGTTCCCTCCGCCGCCGTGTCCTCCTCGCCTCTCGAGCCTGCCCGCCGTAAGAGAGGCCGGCCGAGGAAGTACGGTACGCCGGAGGAAGCTTTAGCGGCCAAGAAAGCTGCTACAGCGTCGTCTCACTCTTCGTCCTCCAAGGCTAAGAAGGACCTCGCTTCTTCTTCTTCCCTTAATGCCGTTTCCGCTTCTTCTTCCTTCTCCGCGTTTTCGAAGAAATCTCAGTTGGCTGCACTTGGTGGGTTTTTGTGCTTTATTTGACGAGTTTTTTGTTGAATTGTTTTGCCCTTGTTGCGAATTTTGTGGATTTTTCTGGGGTTTTGGAATTTGTCGTTGTTTTCGGATTTCTGGGTTGTGGAATGAAATTTCCTTTTTACCGTTTCTATAATCTTCGTTTGAGGGTTCTCTCTGGTTTTTGTTCTTGGAATTCATTTTTTGTTCTTGTTTTTGTTTTAAACCCTACTCTCAAAAGTCCTGTTGATTCCCTTGTACTCCTTTTCAGCGAGTTTCCTCGATTTTTTACTGTATTTTGGTTAGCATGAACGTTCGGGTTATGATAGTTTTTGTTTAATTTCCGGAACTAACCTGGAGTTTATGAGAATTGTATCTGAATTTTAGCCATTATATCCTCAACCGATTCAAATCTCTACTCCATATGTTGAAAATTGTTTCTGAATTTTGGTTGCAGCCATTCGTGTAGAAGTTTAGAATTCTAGAATTATGATTAGAGTTCTTGTTTGTTCGTTTGTTATGTAGATAATGAACTATCTTGATCACTAATTGTGTTGCATTTGCACCATGATTTGTATATGAAACAATTTTCATTTATGTTGAAAATAAGGAACAAATTTGTTTTTTTTTATTTTTTCACATTGGATCTCTTTTGATAAATCCATAATGGCTTTAGTAGCTATCCATTTTGGGGATTTGCTTCACATTAGAAGCCTCTCTTGAAATTGGATATTGTGTGAGGACGGTGCATTTACTTTTGGGGCTGTTTGTGAGGTTGATGTGAGTGTGGGTTTACCACTTGAAAACTTTTGTTACTCTGTCCACCATCTAAATGAAAAGAAGAAAATGAAAGGAAAAAAAACGATACACTCCTGAAGCGTACGAGAGTAGAGGGAATAGTTGGTAAATTTTCTTAAACAATAGATGCAAAACGAAGCTTGGTAATGTTTTCATGTTCTGAAATAACATGTTTCCTGTCATGACTATGTATATATATTAAGGTTTCATTTAGTTTCGTATTTTTTCACTCACGACTATACGCTTGAGTACTTACTTGAAGTTGGTTCTTCTCACTGGAGATGTAGGTAATGCAGGCCAAGGTTTTTCGCCACATGTTATTAATGTAGCGGCTGGTGAGGTAATGGTTCTCCTTAGCTTTCATAGATTTGATTCCATTTATACTGACGTGCTTGGAAGTGCATGTCATGTTGTCCTGGCATTGATATATCTAGTATGATGGCATTGGTACTGCAATAGGACACCAATACCACTAGGAATCTCAGGAATTTCTATGATCTTGATTACTATTTTGTGTTGGGATGCAGAGTATTTTGAACGTGTTTTTGCATTTGATTGTTTCTCAGTTCAATTTCCGATCTCTTGCCTTTCAATATAGTTTATGTCTTGATAAATAATAGACATTGTTACTGCTTTTAATTTAAAAGGAACGTACCCGCCTCAACCACCGATTGGTTAAGTTTTCATACTCTGATGGGGCACAATGTCCACTTATAGAGATTATGCAGAAGCTTTTCTGTTCTCTCTTTCTCTCTCCTTTTTCTTCCCCTTCCCTTCCTCCCTTTTTCTTTTCCTTTTGTCTTGTTTTGGGGGCAAGTAAGGTTGAATACTTGAGATTCTGTTTACGAGTCATTTGAATTCGCTTTTCTGATTATATACACATAGTTGTTAGATAAAACTATTTAACTACATTGACTTGACTTTTCCCTAATATTGTACTTTTTTTCCCTCTTGGTGTTGAGTGATATCTACCAAAGCTTTCCTGAAAGAGATGAAAGTGGGCAATGGACACGAGAAAGTAAAAGAAAGGGAGAACAAGCAGCCATCCTCAACACACCTATGAAAAACTCGGAAAATACAACATTTTGACACATTTGTTTCTTATCATACGCACGCACGTGCACACACACATAAATTACGTAGAGAGCATTAAAAATCTACACAATATCACAATCTATTTGTGATCAAAGAGAGATATTTACAATTATTATGCTTACTATCCAAGGGCAATGCACTTGAATTTAAATCCACGAGAGTCATTGTTGAGACTTTTGTATTGAGAATCTTTGAGCCAATCACTTGGACTCATGAATTTTCTCATCTTAGTAAGGCTGTAGAATTGGTCCTAATTTTGAATCTATTGAACATTAAATGGTCTGAATGCTATAGAGTGCAGAAAAAGAAGAAAAATAAGATAATACTCAATTAAAAGGTGTTGTAATGCAGGAGAAATAGGATTTAAACAAGAGAATACACATTTGAGAATCTTAATGGTTGAGAATCGTTATAAATAGTGGATGACGTTGGAAAAAAATTGAGGACGACTTGCAGATGAGGATGGGTTTCTTAGTAACCCTCTCACATACTGGCACACATGTTCATGTACTCCTATGCGTATACAAAGGAAATTTTAGATTTATGTTCTTGAATATGCGTAAGGTACGTGTATCATGTGGTTTTTGGTAGGACTGAATGCTACGCATATCTGAATAAGAGAGTGCCAGGCTAATCTGCAACTCCACTATGGTCGTTTTTCGTTTTCTGACAGAATAATATTCTGCATGCAACCAAGGAAACTTGAAAGTATGAATTGAAACGAAGGATAAAAACCAAATTATAAAAGATGATCTATTATTGGTTGCTTCACAGTCTTTCCCTCAAAGGAAGAACTCTCTGTGTTTTGTGGTTCTATGGTTCTGTTGTGTAAATTTTTTTGTGTGATGTGATCGCCATGTTACTATAGCTACTTATTTTGTATTAACCATTACAGCTCATTCTTTTTCATCTATGTAGATTTGTATCAATATAGCTTTATCTTTTCATATTATGCCCATGTATTCTAATTTCTAACTGATCAATTGATGGCTCATGTTAAATAGTTGTTTGCTACTATATATAGATAACTGCATTCAGGTTGAGAAACTCCTTCAAGCAAATCATTTTTTGTTTTCTGCCTCTTTTGTGCTCCTTTTCCAAGAATTTTTGTGTGATACCAATTGTGATGTCCCACATTGGTTGGGGAGGAGAACAAACCACCATTTATAAGGGTGTGGAAACCTTCTCCTAGCAGACGCGTTTTAAAGCCTTGAGGGGAAGCCCGAAAGGGAAAGCCCAAAGAAGACAATATCTGCTAGCGGTGGATCTGGGTCGTTACATTTTGTGTCCAATAACAAGGAGATGAGGGTTCAGAACTACTGATTTGGGTTTTAGGAAAGTGGAGCTGTGGTGGGTTGGCGGCTTAGTTTCATGAAAGACCTTAATCATAGAGATACAGAAGAGTGTATGGCCATCTGGATCAAGGTTCTCTACTAGTGCCGGGTTTTACTTAATAGGTTCGGGACGTTTTTTCTTGTTAAGTCGTTGCCTAACAACCTGGCTACCAATGATTTTATCATCTTCCAAGAAGAAGGTTTATTAAGTGTTATGTGTGTTCTTTTTCTTCGAGGTATCAATATTGGAATGTATTTCAAAAGAGGAATCCTTATACGTACTCTCTCCTTACGGGTTGCGATGCTAGTGCAAAGTTAAGCAGACATGCAACATAAGTCACTTGTTTCTGCAAATTGCTTGGCGAAGTCGTGTGTCTCTATTCCTCCTATTCCTCCTAGGTGGAAGCTCTTAAGTGAGTTTGGTGGCAGGTGGTACTTTCTCGAGATGCCCAAAACTTCATTCTCAATATGCCGTGCAGCTTTCCTTTTAAGGGCAAGGCATGAGATTATATGGGCTGTTTCTTGATAGATTATTTATCATTGGAGTGTCCTTCTTGAAGCTTTTGTTTTTGTTTTTCTAGGTAGCAAATCTTTTATTGAAAATGAAGGAATATAAGGGAGGATAGGAAACCCACCCAAATCAAAGGAGATTATTATTGAAAGAAAAAACTCTCCAATTGGTCAACCTCAGAGAAGTAGAAATATTACAGAAGCACATTGAGAGAAGTCTTCATCTAAACGTTTAAATTTTACGGTATCCCATTTCTCCATAGCATTAAAAGTCTTATTTCTTTAGGCCTCATCTCTTGAAAATATTGCAAAGAGAGAGTGAATTAATCCGGTAGCTCTTTGGTTGTTGCTCAATTGAAGTGTATGTCGGTAATTCCATTTGACTCTGGTTTTTACTCGTAAATTTCATTCGATCAATGAAATTGTTGTTTCTTACATAACAACTAGAAGTACCTCTTGTTTTCAGAAGTAAAAATGTTAACATAAATGGCAATGTGAGATCTCACATCGGTTGGGGAGGAGAACGAAGCATTCTTTACAATGGTGTGGAAACCTCTCTCTAGCTGACGCGTTTTAAAAACTTTGAGGGGAATCCCGAAGGGAAAAGCCCAAATAGGGCAATATCTGACAGGCAAGGACGCCCTTTTGGATTTCGTGTCATTTAGTTAGTCTCTTAGTTCTAGCAAACCTTGTTTATTTATTTGGTAGACACGGACGAATTTCTTAATAGGTTTACTTGTCATTTTTCATTTAATAATGGCTCATGTATACTCTATATTATATGCTTAATGAGCTTTGGCTGTATACCTTGGCCACTTTACCCTCCTAACACACACTACGGTCATATTGAATAGGATGTGGGTCAGAAAATTATGCTCTTTATGCAACAATGTAAGCGGGAAATTTGTATCCTTTCTGCATCTGGTTCGATCTCCAACGCATCTCTCCGTCAACCAGCGACATCTGGAGGCAATATTACATATGAGGTATTTTTGTTTTCCCCATCTGATATTGCATTTCTTCCTCAGTGTGCGGAGGAAAAGAAAATAAGAATGATGCTTTGTGTCTATCGTGGATAAATTTGTTGAAATCTTGATATATTCTGTGAGCTCTTGCAGAACATAGGCAAAGGATAACTGGCTTCTCATTTTGATAATCATATCTGCTTCTTTTTTTCCTCCAGAAATTTGCATCTCATGGATTATGCATTATAATAACTATTTGCTATGTAATGATACTATTAGGGTCGTTTTGAGATTGTTTCATTATGCGGATCTTATATACGAACTGACTTCGGAGGAAAGACTGGTGGTCTTAGTGTATGTTTATCGAGTGCTGATGGCCATATAATAGGAGGGGGAGTCGGTGGACCGTTGAAGGCTGCTGGACCTGTGCAGGTACGGTAACCAACAGATAGGGAGTGGGAGATTTCACTTGCTTAAGTTAGTAGGCTTAAAGAGTTTTAGATTATTATTCTTTTGCTTAGTTCATTCTGGTACGGACCTGTCCACATCAGGTCATTGTAGGTACCTTCGTAATCGACCCGAAGAAGGAAGTTGGTGGTGTTAAAGGTGATGCATCTGCTGGAAAGTTGCCCTCGCCTACTGGTGGGACACCAATGTCAAATCTACGCTATGGCTCGAATGTCGACACGGGAGGTAATCAAGTCAGGGGAAATGATGAGCATCAAGGTATTGGGGAGAGTCATTTCTTGCTTCAGCCCCGGGGAGTGAACCTGACGTCGTTGCGATCTACAGACTGGAGGATGAGTCTGGATGCCACAAACAATGCTTATGATTTGACAGGTATAATCATACTATAAAAAAGACACGCATGACACAATCCCTTCATTTTTCCTTGTTTTTTTTGCAGGAAGAACAAGCCATCATTCTCCCGAAAACGGAGATTACGATCAGATTCCCGATTGAAGCTAACACATGGGACAGGACGGGACGGGACAGGACAGGACAGGACCGCAAAGTTTGTCGTAGATAAATGTACAATATCAACAGTTGCAATGCCAGGCATCTCCTCTTCACTCTCTGTTAGCTAATTCTGGTTGTAGTATGCACCATATACTGTAAAGGTGATAAACTCTTTAGAAGTTCTTTAAGCTCTTGCATTTTATTTTCCCTTCCCCCACTTTTCTAAGTTCATCCACCTTTCATGGTGTATTTGCTTGTTAAGTCGCTGTCTAATTCTAATTCCCCTGTTTTTACTTAGATGAACAAGTTTGCTGTAGTTGTTACCTTTTGCAATCTCCAATTTGATCATATAAACAGATACCTCTGGTGATTTAGAATTCCTTGCAATAATCTCCCGGTGATGAACAACAATGCTGTTTGATTAATTCATAAACTACAACAGGTAAAACAACAATACATAACTTCACTTTACTTTTTGATGTGCCTTCTTTACCTTCTTCTATAGATTCTCTGTAAGTTTTCGTATCGAATGAGATAGCATCGTGTTTTGGTATAGCACCACAAGTTAGAGCTCGTACGAGCGACCTTACTTTTACCAAATCGTTTTTACAGGTCTTACAGGTGAACGCCCCCATTCCTATTGGTTGAGCTGCTTTACTCTTTGGCTTTGCTCTTGTTTCAACCTTTTTTATTTGATTAGGAAAGTCAAGTTTTGGCTCTCTAAAGACTAAAGAAACGGATCAAAAAAAGGTCCTTAAGATCGGGTCAGATTTGGTACCAACTTCTATCTATGACTTGCTCTTGTAGATTCTTCATAGGCTTCGGGTGGGTTTTTCTATGTCTTTGAGTTATGGTTAAAGTTGTCAAAAAGTGCGATCAGATGACGTACGACTTGTTTAGAATCTTTCATGTTTCATTGGAGGATGACAATAATCCAACAAAAAGGGTCAATCTCAATGCTGTCTCCCTCAAATGAAAACCAAACCGTTTCATAATTTGCAATAAGTATACGTCAAGCTTTTGTTGGTTTGAGCTTTGAGCACTTTCAATGGCTATTATTGAACTTGTTTTAAGATGGGTTTGGAGATGAAAAGTTGATGTTTCTTTGGGTGAACCCTTTTTGCCCCTTTCCTCAACCTTTATAGTATTCCTTTTTATAATCGAACTCATTCTAAACATGGCTATTAAAGAGAAAAAAAAGGGTACTTCACAATTTGTGAAGATCCCTCTTGTGAGATCGAACACCGTGTCAAATATTTCACTGTTCAAAATAAGAAATTTCGTGTTTCATCAGACTTAAACTTTCTGTTTAACGTCTAGTAAGACAAAAAACTGTCGAGTAGGACAAGAATTTAGTGGATGTTGAACCTATAGACAAGTGAAAACATTAATGTAAATGTCAACATATCGACAAAAAAGTAATACACTATCTCGAGATTAAGGGTTCAAAAAATTTAATCACCCAAAAAACTCAATCAACTCTTTTCCATAAAAGTTGGTTGATTTGAATTTTTGAAAAATCTAAATAGGTTGATTCATTCACTGGTGGACGATTTTTTTAATTAACTTGATCAACTCAATCTTACATTACCCTAATTTTAATATTATTATTAAGATTAAAAATATTTGATTTTTTTGTAATTGATATAATGGTAAAAAAATCATTAAGAAATTATGCCAATTAACAAAGAAATGACCAAAAGATTAGGTTCTACTGTGACAGAACAGGAGTGCAACCAATTAGAGGGCGATTCAAGTTTCAGAAGTGCAGATTTGGTGGAGAATTTCTTGATTTGGAAGCGAAGAACTGAATGGGGGAAGCCGCCGAATATTTCTCCAAAGATTTCGACTGGGAAGAGCTACGAATTCGGGTCGAGAACGACCCGCTTTTGCAGTACCATTTGCTTCCATTTCAGCCCTGCGATTCCATTCCCTCAGTTTCTGCAGAAGCCGATTCAGACGCTTGGAGCCGCTTTCACCTCCGCCACTCCTCCGGCAAATTCTTCAAGGTTTTGATTCCTTTTAGCGTATTCATAGCAACCTAACTTTGTTGTTTCTTTTAGATTAGTTGTGATTTGAGCTCTTTGCGTTTCGCTTCAGGAAAGGCGGTATTTGTTGAAGGAATTCCCTGAACTGGTTTCCTGTAAGAAGAACTGTAAAGTTTTGGAGGTTGGTTGTGGTAATGGAAGCACTGCTCTTCCAATCTTGCGGTAACCTCCAACGTATTGAACTTTTCCTCTGCTTTACTTCTTATTGATGTTCACCAATTTTTTGGGAGTTTGATAACGTAGAAATGTGGTTGATACAAACTAGTTGCATTGTCTTTGTTTATATGAAGTACTGGCCAATTCCTCCATGTCATATGTTATAGGATTGATAGGTAGCATCTTTGGAAGATGAATATAATCTCTCTCTCTCCTTTTTTAGGGTTCTTCACATAACCTCTTAATGTGTTCCGTTCTCGATTAGTTACGAGCGAGAGGTGCCCATTATAAGAGCGAATTGATCCTTCACTTCCTTTTGAGATCTTGATTCTGGACTATCCATCCTACTCTATGCAGGTTCTCATTTGCATCATCGGTAGGATATACGCTCATATAACGATATACTCTTCCATATTCCGTTGAAATTCGAAACTTTTCATGTAGGTTGATATTCATATACTTTGTCGATAAAGTTAGAGCTTATACAAAACAATGATTATTGATTGGCCAAGTTGAGCCATTTAGTGAGGGCCTATGGAAAATGACCTTTTGGTTTTTAACACCGAAACCACTTAGAACGGAGCATGGTCGCTTCATTTTCCTCATCTCTCCCCTTCTAAATGAAGGATGATGTGTATTTTGTACATTTTTCTAACTTTGTTCAAGAGCTGAATCACAGATATTCCTTCATGAAACTTTATTAGGTGTTTTGAGTGCATCTGCGAAGATTATGGAATCGAACACAGCGTTCGCAATGTTTTATGTTCATCCCAGTACTTGTAGTGCATTTGCATTTTCAAGATGGAAGAAATTTGTACCATTAAATATGGCCTTTGAGTGGTAGATCTTATTGCTACCAATTCATTATCTTTACACATGATTACTTTCTTTGTAGTGGGAACGAAAATATTGTCATCTATGCTTGCGATTGTAGCACGGAAACTCTTGAGAGAGCTAAAGAGATTATAAATGATGTCGGTATTGCATCTTTAAAAGATCGATTCTGTCCATTCTATTGTGATTTTTCTACTAGTAAGTTTCCAACATGGTTGGCCTGCAATTCATGCCGTGGAAACACTTCGCTACAGCAGCCGAGCTTTACTACTCCAGGTTGTTATTTTGCCTATCCCTTTAGACATAACTCATTATGTGATGTCCCACATTGGTTGGGGAGGATAACAAACCACCATTTATAAGGGTGTGGAAACCTTCCCCTAGTAGAAGCGTTTTAAAGCCTTGAGGGGAAGCCCAAAGGGAAAGCCCAAAGAGGACAATATCTGCTAGCGATGGATCTGGGTCGTTACAAATGGTATCAGAGCCAAACACCGGACGATGTGCCAGCCTTCTCGTTGTTCCTTGAAAGGGGGTAGCACGAGGCGGTGTGCCAATAAAGACGCTGGGCCCCAAATGGGGGTGGATTTGGGGGCGGTCCCACATCGATCGGAGGAAGGAAAGAGTGCCAGCAAGGATGCTGGGCCCCGAAGGGGGTGGATTGTGATGTCCCACATTGGTTGGAGAGGAGAACAAACCACCATTTATAAGGGTGTGGAAACCTTCCCCTAGCAGACGTGTTTTAAAGCCTTGAGGGGAAACCCGAAAGGGAAAGCCCAAAGAGGACAATATCTACTAGCGGTGGATCTGGGTCGTTACACATCAACTGCAAGACTACTGCTTTCCTTACCGGCTTGCACCCTTATCCATCTTTCTCTATGTTTGCAGAGAAGGAAGGATCTCAGGCCACCGAATCAGAAGAAAGTGAATGTTGCATTGGTGGGGTTGATTTTCTTACTTTGGTATGCTCCTCTTTTTGTATTTTTATATAGTTACTCTAATTTTATACACTTTGAATTTTGATTCCTGTTATTTGTGGAGCATTTTATATTTGCAAAGAAATTAATGAAATATCTAAATGGTGTTAAGGCATGAACGCTCTCTCCCTTCGTGAAAACTAATATATTGTGCAACATTAACAAACTTCCTTCACTTCTAATGATTTCTTGAATCTTGGTAATGACGGTTGAATGTTCTTTGGCTTTCTTTTTCACTATTTCAGATATTTACATTATCAGCAGTGCCTCTCCAGAGGATGCCAGCATCGATTAGAGAATGCTATATGGCGTTGAAGCCTGGAGGCCTGCTCTTATTTCGGGACTATGGTAATAGATTATGATAAGACTGATGATGTTATTTTAGTTTGCTTTAAATCCCAAGTATATAAAATTCCTGTCCTTTCTAGCTCATGTAACGTGTTTTAAACATTCTGCTGATCGATATCCTGTTTAACGGAATGCAGGTCTATATGATATGACGATGCTTCGATTTGGGCAAGATCAAAGAGTAGGATTCAAGGAATATGTCCGATTGGATGGAACGCGTTCTTATTTCTTCTGCTTGAATACCTTGAGAGATCTGTTTGTCACTGCAGGCTTCGTTGAGGTACTTACTACCAGGTTTAAATACATATACTTAATTATTATAGTTCATATCCCAAACTGTTTACAACAATGGTGATGTCCTGTTACTGACCTTATAAAGTATAGAAAATAATTGATACCGTCCCGACTAACTTTAGAGCATGATTATCGTTGCAGCTCGAGTTGGAATATTGTTGTGTGAAGTCCTTAAATCGCCGAAATGGTAAGAGCATGGAGAGGGTGTGGGTTCATGGAAAATTTCAGAAGCCTGTGTCATGAATCATGCTAGAGACACAGAGCAACATTTCAAAGGAATTTTCTCTAGTTCATCTGGAAGTGTTGTGGTGGAATGTTTGTGGCTGTTCATCTATGATGTTCTCTTGTTTCGGTTAGTCCATTTAAAGGTTAATTGTGTTAATGCTACTTTTTAAATTTTATAGGTATTTTTTAAACCTACTACAAGAGTAAGTGTAACAGTCCAAGTCTACCGCTAACAGATATTATTCACTTTGGTCCGTTATGTATCGTCGTCGCCTCACAGTTTTAAAATGCATCTGTTAGAGAGGTTTTTACGCGTCTGTGAGGAATGCTTTGTTCCCGTTTTCAACTGATGAGGTTTTTACGCGTCTGTGAGGAATGCTTTGTTCTCGTTTTCAACTGATGAGGTTTTTACGCGTCTGTGAGGAATGCTTTGTTCCCGTTTTCAACTGATGAGGTTTTTACGCTTCTGTGAGGAATGCTTTGTTCCCGTTTTCAACTGATGAGGTTTTTACGCTTCTGTGAGGAATGCTTTGTTCCCGTTTTCAACTGATGAGGTTTTTACGCTTCTGTGAGGAATGCTTTGTTTCCGTTTTCAACTGATGAGGTTTTTACGCTTCTGTGAGGAATGCTTTGTTCCCGTTTTCAACTGATGAGGTTTTTACGCTTCTGTGAGGAATGCTTTGTTCCCGTTTTCAACTGATGAGGTTTTTACGCTTCTGTGAGGAATGCTTTGTTCCCGTTTTCAATTGATGAGGTTTTTACGCTTCTGTGAGGAATGCTTTGTTCTCGTTTTCAACTGATGAGGTTTTTACGCTTCTGTGAGGAATGCTTTGTTCCCGTTTTCAACTGATGAGGTTTTTACCCTTCTATGAGGAATGCTTCCCGTTTTCAACTGATGAGGTTTTTACCCTTCTGTGAGGGATACTTTGTTCCCGTTTTCAACTATGAGGTTTTTACGCGTATGTGAGGGATGCTTTGTTCCTGTTTTTACGCGTATGTGAGGGATGCTTTGTTCCTGTTTTCAACTGTATGTAGGATCTAACCGTAGGTAATTTGCATATTTTCTCTTGGTGCTTTATTAAATAATGAATCCAATCCAATTTAATCTAACTATGCCAAATATTATTACTTAAATATGAGGGCATGAATCCCAATGAAAGATCGTGTAGAAACAGAGTTTAGCTTGTCTTTGACTTATTCCAATTGTACTTCCAATTTCACAAAAAAAAAAAAAAAAAAAAAAAAAAA